GCGGACTTGGCCGCGGCGAGGGCGCTGAGCAAGCTAGAGTTGGAGCAGTCCATCGTCGCGCTGGCGCTAACAGAAGGCGGCGAGCTCAAGATCGGCACTGCCCCCCGGGGGCACCTGGAGACGATGGCGCAGCGGCTGGTCGACAAGACCAGGACGGGCGGGGGCAGGGGGCGACGCGGCAAATAGACAGTGCGCCAGAACCTTGAGCGCGCCTGAATCTTGGGATATCAGGAGAGCAGTTCTTTCTGAGTGCATTCAAGCGCGCGAACAGGCTCAGCATCGCAATACTTGAGACTGGGCAGCACTTCCATATCTGGTGGGCACACCTCGCGCCGGGGGACGCGTTGGTTCGGCACTCTCCGCGACCGAATGGCTCCGGGCTTGACGGGCGCGACCCTTCGTCTGGCGCGGGCGCGATTTTGGCGCGAAGTTCTGGGCGCCTACCCTGGCTTGGCCCTGCATGTGCGACATTTATGCACGTGCTGCCTTGTATTTTTACATTGATCTGATCTCTCGTGGGGCCGATGTTTGGCTGGTCATGCTAGCATCTCATCACTGGATGGCGTCTGCACTAACCCACGGAGGCTGGCCGCCCGTCTTCCTTCCGCCCCGTCGCCCCCCCCCCCCTGCGCCCCCGGGCCCCAGTTCCTGGCGAGGCGCTTCTCGTGGGCGTATTTCTGCTGCAAGGCGCCCTGCTCTAAGGCCTCTCGGACTCCTTTGGCGCCCGCCCCCGCCTGCCCGTCTGGGCGGGCTGGGCTCTTCCTCGCAGCGCTCGTCTCTCCGACGCGGGATGCGCGCTCGACGTCGGGGCGCGCGCTTCGGGGCACCTGCTTGCAGGGGCCCCGCGGCCCGCGGCCCCGCTCCTCTAGGCAGGCCCCGCCGCCGCCGCTCTTTCGCCCACTCTACCTCCATTGCCGTGTCTAGGTTTTTTGGGGGGCCCACGGTCCCCTCGGCTGCGCCTCTGCTCTTCCTCTGCTTTGGCCTTGCCCGCTCGCATCGTCGCCCTCTCTTCCGCGCCGTTCCCCTCTCGTCTGTCGTTTTGCTGGAGCGTCGGTTCCCCCTCGGGGCGGGGCGGGCGCCTCGGCTGCCTGCCCGTCGCCTGCAGCGACGAGGGGCCAGGAGAGCTCCCGCCCCACTCTCCGAAGGGTCTCGCGTTGCGACTGCCCGAGTATTAATTCGCGCGTCAGGCTGCGCGGCGCGCGCCACTCAAGACCTCGTCGCACGCGTTCGATGATCTTTCTAGGTGGGGCTCTGCTGGCACGGGTGCGCGCGCGGGCAGAGACCGGCGCAGACCACGCGCGATGCCGCTTCCTCTACCTCCTCCTGCGCGGCGCCCCCCCCCCCCCCCTCGATTCTGAGGGCCAGGGGCGGCGCCCCGGGCAGGCCGCGGGCGCGTTCCCGGCGGCCCTGCGTCCGTTAGATCCCGCAGGGACTTTGCACAGTTGAGGCTCTAGTTGCTGCTGCCGACGACCTTTCCGAAGCGCCTTTACCGCTTGCGCCTCTGGGCCTCTTCTTCTTCCATTATCTGCCTTGGCTCCGTCCGCGCGCCGGCGCCGGCGCATTCCAAACGTGCTCCGCGCCTCCAGAGGAGGCCACTTCACGGCCATAGTAAACGCGCGCGCATGCCGCGCGACGCTAATTCCGGCACGCCCCTCATCGGGAGTTCCACGTGCGGCCCCAGTGGGCGCGCGTGCATGCCGCCCCGTGCCAATTTCGGCACACCCTTAAGATGCGTTCCTACATAGGGCGCTCCAGCTGCAGCCCCAGTGGACGCGCGCGCATGCCGCGCTACGCACTCGTCAGCACCCCCTATCACACTTTGCCTGCCCCGTTCGGGAGCTATGCACGAGGGAGGCCCCCGCGGGCGCGCGCGCATGCCGCTGCAGGCCCAGTTCTGCACACACTTCACATTCTTCGTGCCCCATATCGGGAGCTGAACATACGGCCATAGTGGGCGTGTGCGCATGTTTTGTGCCTCCATAAGGCGCCCCACCCATCGCCCCACTGGGCGCGGGCGCATGTTTTCTCACGTTTCGTGCCCCCGCAGGCAGCTCCACGCACGGCTTCAGTGGGCGCGGGCGCATGCAACCTTCGCCCAGTTTTGTACATCTCTGAACTGCCTAATGCCCCAACGGTAACTTCCAACTACAGCCACGGTGGGTGCGCGCGCATGCCGCGCCACGCGTGTTCCGGCGCCCCCGTCACACGCTCCGCGCCCCCACATGGGGCCCCAGAGCCCCACTAGGCGCGCACGCACATGCCGCACCACGCGCATGTCGGCACACCATTCGCACGCTCCCGGGCCCAAAGGGGAACGGCTTCAGTAGGTGGTATCGCAATTTGCACTGGTCCAATGTCGGCATACGCCTTACACGTTTCGTGCCCTGTGTATAGAACTCCACAGACGGCCCCAGAGACAACGGTCGCATGCCGTCTCTTCCCATGCTGGCACGGCACGTCCAGTGCCCCACAGAGAGTTCCACCCAAAGCTTCAGAGACAACGTTCGAATGCCGCCCCCCGCCCGTTTCGCATTTCCCCCGCCCCACACACAGAACCCCCCCACACACACACACACACACACACACACACACACACACACACACACACACACACACACACACACACACACACACACACACACACACACACACACACACACACACACACACACACACACACACACACACACACACACACATTTTTCGTCGGCGGCTAGGCAGGGGCACTGCGCTTGCGATGGGGCGTAAATGGGACGCACGGAACGCGAATGAAACCGCAATGCACGGGCGAGAGCGGAAGAACACCGGCGCGGGCAGGGGGGGGGGCGAGCTGGCCCCGCCCAGAGCGGGGCCAGGCGGCGGCGGGGGAACGCCGGGGGCAGGGCCGGCAACGGCGAGGCGGCAGCCGGGGGGTAGGCGGGCAGGGCGGCTGCCAGAGGCAAGCGCCCAGGGGGGAGCACGTCCAGCAGGAGCTGGAGGCGAAAACGGTGCAGCGTGGTGCCCAGGGGAGCCGAGGTTACAAGTGACCTGCGAGGCAGCCCAGAAGGGATGGCCAGCGTGGGACCACCTCAGAGGAGGGGTCGGCCTGAAAACCAGGCAAGGCAATGGCGGCGGAAAGAGCACGACAAACAAGTGCCAGGCTGGGAAGGGCAGTGCGGCGGACATGCACCGTGGATGCCGAGGTCGCGGATGACCTGCAGTGCACCCCTGAGGCGGCGCATGCCAGACCAGCCTGCCAGGGACGCACAGACTGGGCGGGGCAGTCCCAGGAGAAGCGTGGGCGGCGGCGGCGAGGAAACGGCGGGAGCCACCAGGCAGGGTGGGAGAGAGGGGCGGGGCGCAGGGAGCGCCTGGCGGGGGAGGGGCAGCCGCCCAGGGCGGAGGTGGCTGGCAGGCAGCTCGGTACCAAAAACATGCAGAAGGCCACCGCAACGCAGCAGCGGGGGGACCCGAGAGCGGCGGGGGGCGGCGAGCCAGGCGCCTCCGACCGGGCGGCAAAGGCGGGGCGGGGCGGCCAGCGACCGGCCCAGGCCGGGGTGGCCAAGAGGGCCAGGCGGCGCGCAGCCGAACCAATGAGCCGAGGGCGGGCGGCAAGACCAGCCCGCGCTCGGCCAGAAGAAAGAGCCGGACAAAGTGCACCCCGAGGGTGAGGTGGCGCGGGCAGGACGAGCGGGTTCGGAGGACTCATTAGACGTCCTGCAGCAAGGAGGGAACGGCGGTGGCCGACTCGGAGGTGCGCGGGGTAGGGCCGGTAGCCCTGACGAGGCGCGTGGTCAGCGAGCCTTGGGCGGCCAGGCACGAGATGCCCACGCATAGAAGGCATCCGCTGGCGAGAGGTGCCAGGGGGTGGTAGCGCAGGCTGCGCCGCGCAGTGGGGGTGCGCCCTGAACCGCGGGGCGTAGGAGGGAGGCATCGAACGCAGGCCACACGCACGCACCGCACGCACGCACGCACGCACGCACGCACGCACGCACGCACGCACGCACGCACGCACGCACGCACGCACGCACGCACGCACGCACGCACGCACGCACGCACGCACGCACGCACGCACGCACGCACGCACGCACGCACGCACACGCACGCACGCACACACACACACACACACACACGCACACACACACACACACACACACGCACACACACACACACGGTTCGTGCCGCACAGGGAGCTCCTTTCACCTTCGGCCCAAGAGAAAACGTCGGCATGCCGCCCCGTACATTCAGGCGCACCCTTCACAGTATTCCCCCACAGGGGAATTCACATACGGCCCCTGAGACAACGATCGCATGCCTCCTTCCGCCCATTTCGACACAACTCTCACACGCTTCTGAACCACAGCGAGCTCTACATACGACACTAGAGGCAGTGCACATATTACGCACCCCCTGCCCATTTGGGGGCACCCCTCATGCGGATCGCGCCACACAGAGAGCTCAACCTACTGTCTGAGTATGCGCGTTCACGTGGGGCTTCTTTCCATGTCGACTCCTCAATCACGCGGAACTGCCCAGTCTCAGAGATAACCACGTTATCCTTACCCGAATTTATCTTCGACTTAGAAATGGGGCGAGGGGGAACCAGTCTGCTGCATGCAGCATGCAGCTGGTGTCGGCCCCGCCGCCCGGCGCCTCTCCTCGATACATGGGCGCCTCGCGGCACCAGGAGGCGTCGACAAAACCAGCTACTTGAGCTAATTGGCTGCCCCCCCTTACTCATACCCCCCTTACTTATACCTGAAAACCGTCCGACCCGACTCGCAACGTCTTTCTGATTCGATTCAGTGTTCGAATGGTTGTTTATACGTCGTTCTTATGTGCCGTTCTTCTCCACCTCTCCCCCTCTTCCTCCCTCTCCCCTTTTCCTTCTGGGTGTGATGAGAGCCGCTTGTATGGCGCTTGGCCGTGGGAGATGCAGTCGTACGCCGTGCACACATCGCCTAGGTGTCTGATGTGCCGTCCGTCCGTCCAATCCCACCCATCGCACCCTCCTCGGGGAGGCGGTAGAGAAGTGCCACGCGGCCGGGGACATGAGGGAGGCGCTCGCCTCCCACCAGGCCGCCCTGCTCGCGCTCAGGGGGGCGGGGGCGGGCGGCAGAGGGGAGGCGCGGGATTAGGCGGGGGGGGGGGGGGGGGCCGGATGACAAGGGGGCGGGGGCGCGGTCGGTCGGGAGAAGCCAGGGGGGCGGCTCGCAGGGGGGGCAGAAAGGCCGCGAGGCGGGGAGAGGGCGCGAGACAGGGAGAAGGAAGGGGGCACGGTCGGTCGGAATAAACCCGGGGGGGAGGGACGGGACGGGAGGGAGGGGAGGGACGTTAACCCAAGGCACTAACCGCAGAGTCTGGGGGTCCTCCTGTGTGACTTGTACTCCCAGGCCGGGGAAAGGAGGGGCGGCGGCGGACGATGACAGTGTCGTGAAGACGTGCTCAACTCTGAAAGAACTCTGTTGTGAGGAGCCCGGGACCCGTACAAAAGAGAGGGCCCGGGTCAACTCACAGAGTTAAACTTGAAAGAAATTTGGCCAGTCCCGGGAGCCACCTGTCTGTGTCGACGTGCCTTGGCCTCAGCTCTGTTGGCTGCGATCCTGGTCAGCTGGTCAGCCGTGAAGACGGGGGCAGGGGGCGGAGGAGGGGGAGGAGCCGAAGGAGGCGAAGAAGGGAAAAGGGAAGGGGGAGCCCCGTCCTCCGCTGAAAGAGCTCTGACCTCCTTGGGCGTGGAGTCCATGGGCGCAGGGTGGCGATCCTGCGGCGGTGGGTGGCCCGATTCCTCGGCCGGGGAGGGGAGGGAGCCAACAGAAGGCGAGGGTGGGGGAGGAATCCATTTGCACACTTCAGGATCACCGCGCTTCCTGGAAGTTGCGGTGTGCTGTGCAAAATCTGGCGCTTCCCAGAATTCCTCTGTTAACTCGACTCTGAAGTCTGATAGCCCTGCATCAGTAGTATCCTCCCCTTCCTCAGGGGCCACATCCGAGGTGGGGGGAGGAGGTGGGACATCTTCTTCCTCCGACGGCCATGCACTCTGTACTGTATCGTGCACAGCTCGAGTAATGGCGGCAACCATTCTGTCGGGGTACGTCTTCTTGGAGCTGGTCCTGAAAGTTCGGTCATCTCTTTTCTTGCCTAGCAGAGTGGTATGTATTCCTTTGTCGTGGCAGCACCTCCCCCCATGAACGGCCGTGATATACTGGAACATCTTTGGGAGCCTTGGAGCGAGAAACCTAGTGGGGGCTCTTCCTATCGTCTCTGGTGGTGCGTCCTGCAGCGTACACTGGTCAGAATCGATAGTACTGGCAACTGGGCAACATTCCATCGATCTAAGCGGGAGCCATGTGAAACTGGAAACCCTTTGCGCTTTCCACACTGCTGGCTGAGGATTCTTCAGCCATGCGCACGTGCGTGCTCTGACATGCTCTGCCATGAGGAGGATGAGAGAGTGGAGGAGCGTATTCCCGATCTCGAGCTGGATCGCCTGCTTGTGCGTGCTCCATGGCACCCCCAGTAGTGATTGTGCGTCCTGAGTGGGGGAGGGGGGCCGCCTTCCCAGCGAGCGGCACTCCAGGTCTCACATGGGGGACCCCTCCCGTGACCCAGACTCCGCGCTCTGATGTGTTCGGCCCACATCTCGAAGGTATCGTGCCTCGTGATGTCGCATCTTTTAGCATCGATCGCTATGTCGATGGAGCGTATTGTGCATATGATGTGCGCGCTCATGTTCATGCTGTCGATGTGGTGCTGTATGTCACCTGTGCGTCTTCTTCCACAGTGCATATTTAGTATATATATATATATATATGTGTATATACCTCTGATCGCTATATCCTCCATGGCACACGGTTCTTGAAAGTCTTGGGGTCGGAAGAGGTAGTACCTTCCTTGAGCGGGGTCGGTGGCCTCCAAAGGCCGTGGGCCAGGTCGTTCGTACCAGACGTCGGTCATGGTCAGAAGCGCCTCAGGAGTAAGCTCGTAGCTGGATTCTCGCAAGACCTCTCTGGCAGCATTCTCCTCCATATGTGAAAATACCCAGGCTGCTTCCCACAGCATGCCGTCGGCACACTGTGCTGGGATAGTTGGGTGCGCCGCTCTCCACCGTTCTAGACCTGCCTTTCGCTGGTCCTGGCCGTGCTGGCGGTCTCTCTCTGCTGCCTCCTCCGCTGCAGAGGCTGATAGCTGCGTGTCGTGCATGAGGTGAGAGAGGCAGCATCTTGCTGAGTCGTATGCGAGATGATCCATGAGCTGTCGTCTGGATGCAAATTCTGTAGCGCACGCTCTGCATACAGCTGTGCCACCCATGTGATGCTCCACCTATGAAAACATGGTAATATGCATACGTGTGACATGTTGTTTGATGCAGTCGAGCACCACGGACATACGTAGGTAGTTTGTGCGTGTCGTTCAGCAGCTCTCAGGTGATGATCTGGATGTGTGATTGGGAAAGGAAATCCGCTGGACTGCACAATCTGGAAGAAGTCTCGCTCGGCCTTGCCAGCCAGTGCCGCCCTTGCCTGCGCACACGTCGCTCCGTGTTGCGCGATCTTCAAAGTTTGCCTCCATGCCGTGAGGGAGGCTCGGATACGTCTTTCCAATTGCGCCAGATTTTCGTACGGGCTGGGTCGATCACGATATGTGTAATGTACCGAACCTGGCCACTGCAAGTCTTCTAGTACATGGTGAATACATAAGGTTTTCTTGGCATGGTGCGTGATGGAGGTGCGGTGCGCATGCGCCAGTATACCCAGAAGGAGAGCTGATCCATGATGGAGAACCTAGTAACCGTAGCCTGTGTATGCGTAGTTGTGTGTCCAAGTGGGGCCGCATGACGGCCGCTAGTACCTCCTGGTCAGGAACCGCCTGGTCGTCATGCCTGTGAAGACCCGCTGCTGCTCTGTTCCTTTTTTATGATGTTGTTGCGTAGTGTCTTCATAGTTCCCTTTTCCGGGTGGATCCAAGCGCCTGCATTGAAAAGTCGGGAAGACGTGATCAGAGCATCGACACATCGCATTTTGATGTTTGTTTGGTCTCCCTTGTGCAGCACACTCTCGTCCCCGCTTTCCTGGTCGTTGGGTAGCTTGGAAACCTTCCTGGCTGAAGGGCCCCTGCTTAGTGCCTGGAAGGCACGTCTCCTTAGGAGTTGGGAAGACTGGGCGACCCCTGCAATCCTGTGCGCGACTTCAGATCCCGTGGCTCTTTTTTCTTCCAGGATGTTCCCGAGGTAGGGGTATTGTCGGACCGCACAGATTGTGACCTCCGCAGTGATGTCAGTTTTAACCTGGAACTTGCCCTGTCGTGTCCTCCACAGGTCGATTTTGGCGAGCTTGGCGTGGGTACCGAAATACTGAAATAGCAGCTCCGACTTGCCTTTCTTGAAGTTGAGTCGGAGCCCTCGCTCCAGGAAGCTTGACGCAACTATGCCTGCAACGTCTGACGCAATGGCAAGGAGGTGCATGGGCGGGCCTAGTACTGCAAAAGCACCGTCGTCAAAAAGCATCTGTCCACTGCTGGTGTGGTCGTAGCTGGCTCATGTGCAAGTAACTGAGTGAGTGACGCACCTTCTAGTGTCGGTATACTCGTAGGTATGTGTAGGGAAATAAGCCGTTGCTTAGCCAGGTTGACACACTCAGCCATGATGACATTGAACGCCACGTCCCCCAGTTGTCCAGGTGCCGTCCCCATCATAAAAAAACGCCACCAGAGTAGATCCCGGACAGGTGAACCAGGAACCGTGGTAAGACGAGGCCGTGAGGGTTGCCAGATGTTGACCCACTTGGGCCTTGTCGAGAGCCGTGGGCCCCTCCCTGAGACGCTCCATGAGGCGGTGTGTTGCAGCTGGCGTCAGCCCTGTGAGCTTAGTAGCATGGCGACATCTTCCACCGTATTGCACGTAGTCATGACCAGTTGGCGTAGAGATTTGTAAAAGGCTTGCACAACGTCCACCAGTAAAAACATGATTGAAACATTCTGGACTTGTGCAAGGTCGGAGAGCATCTGAGGGCCAGGCTTGCCAATTCGACTCCTCTGCCTGCAATTCCTCCGAACTGCGACTCTCCATCTTGTTCCGGCAATACGTCCGCTAGGGGTGTACGTAGTAGTGTGCGACATTTCTTTCCAATATGTGGGGATATAACCGATTTGGAGTTGATGGGCCATGATGGATCTCCTCCTCGTTTCCAGATGTTCCAGCAGCATGCCCCCTTTCATTGTACTGGCTCCTCTATCCGTAGCACGGCCTTAGTGACGACTGGAAAGTAGACGTGACCCAAGTCGGTGCCGAACTCAGCCAACAGCCTACCCGAGATGCCGTCCAGGCTGGGCGCTGAGGCGGGAGGGCGCTTGCAAGCGGTCTGAAACTGAGCGAGTGCTGGCAGATAAGCTTGTTCTGGGGCCACGCCGTTGACCTCAGCCTCTGGCAAAGGCGGGGGCATGTCATGAGCTGCCTGGGCAGCCAAAGTGCCTTAGCCAGATGTCGGCTGCCTCGGTCGTGCCTGAGGCTGGCGTGCCGTTGGGATGCCTTACTGTAGGTAGGAAAGAGCGCGTTCTGTGGTCGCTTGGAGGGGGGGCGGCTTGGAACCGGATCCCCCCCCCTCCCCCCCTGCTTCCCTTCTCCTCGGGCCGGCGCTCGCGTCGGCGGCGGCTGGCGACGGCGGCAGGGACGACGATTTTCATTTCTGGGCCGGCGCCGGCGCCTGCGACGGCGGGCGGCGGTGGCGGGGAGCGTCGACGAGGACGACGGTGGGTATGGTGGTGGTGGGTTGTGGTGGTGGTGGTGGCGGCGGTGGTGGTTGTGGTGGTGGTGCTGGTGGTGTGGTGGTTTGTTGTGGTGTGGTGATTGTGGCGGTGGGTGGTGGTGGTGGTGGTGGTGGTGGTGGCTTGGTGGTGGTGTCGTGGTGGTTTGTGGCGGTGGTGGTGGTGGGTTGTGGTGGTGGTGGTGGTTTGGTGGTGGTGTGGTGGTGGTTTGTGGTGGTGGTGGTGGTGGGTTGTGGTTGTGGCGGTGATTTGTGGAGGTGGTGCTGGTGGTGGTGGTGGTGGCGGCGGTGGTGGTGGTGGTGTTGCTGTTTGTGGTGGC